TATTTATCATGCAAAACTGCATCTTTCAGCACTTAGAGGCCTCCAGTCTCCACCTACTTCCACACAAGCACCCTGTTTATACTCAGTATGAGTCATAGCTGGCTCCTGAGATTTTATGAAGTTTCACAAGCTCATTACTTCTATAATTCATGAAAAAAAAGTGTATAATTGAACCTGCCCAAGATGCAGTATTTGGGCCAACAAGAATCAAAATTGATAAGTCTAAATTTCTATGAGTTAGTAACCAAGCAGTCAAAAACCTCTCAAGCATCCACCCCCAGTGTGCCCAGCACAGCCTGTTCCCTGAAGTTCCTCCTTTTGCCAGGATTTTTGCAGGCTTTGTGGCTGGACGGATCATTCTAGCCAAAAAGACAGGAAAGTTGTTTGCAAAGCAATTTAACTGTTTCTCTAAAAGTGGCGTTCAGATTTAGGATTTTCTTTTTAATTTTCAGAAAATGGGCTTTCCCATTTGATTCCAAGGAAAGAAAAACCAATCAACTTGCTCTATGCTCCAACTTTCCACACAGGTTTGGAAGGGCACTGTGGCAATCTGCACACCCTCTCCTTCCCCACAGCCAAAGAAAAGCAACTCTATAGATGCAACTTTTAACTCATCTGCCTTGGCAAGGACAAAACAGGTTTTCCTGAGGGAAGCTTCTCCAACATAAGCAGAAAACTTAAGTGGAAGGGAAAGAGGATGATTCAGAGAAAACATTTTTTTAACTATTCAAAGAGGTATGAAAACATAACACATCAGAGCACCCAAAATATGTAGAAAAACCTAATGCTCCATTAGAAAATGTCAATACTAACAGTATTTCCCTCCTCCAAAATACTAAATATTAAATTGTTCAGAGAACCAAAATTTTTAATGCTGCAAACATTTCTGGCATTAAAATAAGCTTAATAGTCTTTATTTTGTTGTAAAATTTCACCACCCTCCTTTTAATCTAGTTCGCCAAGGACCTCATATCAACATACATGTTTTCCAGATATATATATATATCAAATTTTATCAATACACTTGTATTTCATGTCCAAATGAGGGTAGGTAATGCTGTTATATGGGGGTCCCAAAAATATTACTTCAGTTTTAAGCTTGAACAGCATCAGTAGCTTAAAACTCCCCTAAGACGTTTGGGATGCCGTGTATACCATATATGACTGTTAAAAGCGAAGCGAAAAAGAATATAAGTACTGGCTAAAGTGTCTGAAATAAAAGTTTTCTTGAAAAATTTTAAGCAAATTTTGAATTAATAGAGTACATGAACTGATAGAGGAGGGGGGTAAGGGAACTACAGGACTCTGGCACAGACAACAGACATTGAACATGGAGAAAGGAAAAAGTTATGTTGGATGTGAACGGATCAAGAAAAGACTGACCAGAAAAGAGATGGAAGTTACCAAGAGTGGTAAGACTACTGAGTAAGTGGGTAAAAAAGCCTAAGGTCATATTAACTAGTTGGAGAAAGATGAGATGGTATCTCCAAGGAAGGTAATTCCCACGATTCCTACAGTTTTAACCTCAGCCTCATGTGAGACTGATGGTCCAGAGAAAGGCTGCTCCAGACAAGCAGTCTTACACAGATTAGGCCACAGAGTAAGATTGTCTTTGACAAAGGATCACAACAATAGTGGGAAGCAGTAGAAAGTAGGAAAAGGAAGAACTAAGATTTCTTCAATGGAAAAAAACAAACAGATTTACAGACAACTTGTCACATTATCCTTTTCCTTCTCTGGGTCAGTTTCCTCACCAGTAATTAAGGGGTTCTACTAGACAATCTCTAAGGTGCCTTTCAGGCTCTGACCGTGTTACTTTTCTTTCTCACTCTGAACTCTATGTTCTCATCAAGAGGGGAGGGTTCCACTGTGCCTCTTAAGAAATGTCACTTAATGGGGGCAGCTAGGTGGTGCAGTGGATAGAGCACCAGCTCTTAAGTCAGGAGGTTCTGAGTTCAAATCCAGCCTCAGACCAAACACTTGACACTTACTAGCTGCATAACCCTGGGCAAGTCACTTAACCCCAATTGCCTTTAAAAAAAAAAAAAAAAAAGGCATTTTGGGGCAGCTAGGTGGCGCAGTGGATAGAGCACAGGCCCTTAAGTCAGGAGGACCTGAGTTCAAATTCGACCTCAGACCAAACACTTGACACTTACTAGCTGTGTGACCCTAGGCAAGTCACTTAACCCCAACTGCTTTAAAAAAAAAGTCACTTTCCTGTAAGCATTAGAAAGTTAATATATCAAATGCCCTTCAATATGGAGCTTTCTAGTTCCCTTTCTTTTCAATTGGCCTCATTTCTGTGCCAACTTCTCACAAATTCAGAAGACCTTCCTGGGAAATGCTCTCTGTACATCTGCCAAACATGGAAAGGTGATGGTGCTATGTCCCACAGAAGAATGTTGAGAAATCAAATATAGTCCCCTATAGTTCATTATTCCTAAGATGATAGCCTCCACAAAATCCATTATTAGAGAAATAAAAATACACAAAATTTTTTAACTTATGACAAAGAATAATTTTTATTAACATTGAATTAATATAATAAAATGTATTAAGACATACAGTGTCACCGTATTATAATTTGTGTTGGAATTGTCTTCATTACACAAAAGAAAATATTTAGATGTTTTAAAATTCTGACAGCACTCATGGCAAACGATTAGAGAACTTCTGACTTTTTTTTTCAACTAAGTAAAAGTGGGTAAGTCAGAAAAGGAGAGAAGACAATGGCTAACTCCCATCATACTTTACCTCTGCTACCTAACATCTAACAAAGAAAAAATTGGTCTTTGTCTGTAAAATGCTTTAAGACCAGAGCAACCCATAAAAGAAAAGAAATACAGAATGGCTCAACTCATAGATTAAAGTCAGTTAAAGAGAAAGAACCCAGAAATACTTTTTATACATAATACCTTATCAGTTATGGCTCAGAAATAACTAAAATATAACACCCCTCTTCCCTAATGATGTAAATGATCTGATTTAAAATTCCAATTTATTATAATTTATTGTTATATGGGCAACATACATATATAATATAAACCCACATTTTATTACTATGCCATTTCAGAATATTAATTCTGAAAATACTGGTTAATTTAAAGTTTTTTATACTGAGTTTCTTATAATGTGGGAGGGGGAGGAGTTTTATCATGAATGCTCCTCCAAATGAAAATGCTATTCTGCCTAATTTCAGACAACAGTAAGGCAACATCTCCCTTTCCTTCTGGACACACAAATGCCTCCCAACAGGGAGTGAGGCCAGAAGTTACTGTCTATTCCCTAGAATGTCACTACCCATAAGCAGTTATAACTCCAGCAATTGGGGGATGAGGGAGAAAGTAGGGAAAGAGAGGGAGGATTTCAAACTAAGAGAGTTTGAGGAATATTCGAAATACAGCAAACTTTGACTATCTCTGAAGAGACCATATGTTAATAGGGAAAAGGGGGATGCGGGCAAAGTGGCCAGAAAAGGGCAAAGGAATCACCTTACAGTCAATACTTCATATTCCTCTAATGCAGAACATGAAATGTTATCCCGAAGTTGTCCAGGGGTGACACTGGAAAAACAGCCGCCAAATGGCACTTCTGGGATTTCTTCCTGGTGAGAAGGGGCAGAGGAAACGTGGAGAAGAGCCACGAAGCTGAGCTAGAGAATCTGGGATTTCTTACCACCAGTGGTTCAAAAAGAATTTCCTGTCAAAAAAGATTTCACCTGAAGGAAACAGGGATGATTTCCTGCCATAGGTGGGTAAGGAGAAGAAAGAAGAGAACCCGGAGAAAGAACCTCAAGTGGTTATTTCCAACTCCAAACGATTCAATTCTGAATGAATCTGAAACTGGGAGAACAGCTTGTCCTTGACTCCAGACCACCTCAGGCAGTATAGTGGCAGTTACCTAAATCCTGTGGGTGGCCCTGGTCTGGAGCTGCAGCGGTGGGGGAGGCAACACAGCGATCAGCAAAGCTGAGGTCAATCTCAACTGCCTAAGCGAAGCAAAGCACAAGGGCGTAGAATCCAGAAAAAGGCCCTCGGGTGCCTGAAAGCCCTATTTCTTCTGTACAAAAAGCTTTGGAAATCGTGGGGGGAGGGAGATTGTTTGCATTTCCCCATAATCATTTGGAGCGTGGGCCAAGGAATGGGAGTGTGCTGCCTCAGTGAGAAGAGTCCATCACAGAGGCTGAACGTACTCCCAAAGGGGAAGGGGAAAGGCACACTTTGCCCTCGTGAGGAAGAGCTGAGAAATGGAGGGGGATGCATTTTTCCCCCGAGGGCAAGAGCTGAGCAAAAAGGGGGTAAAGTAAAAAGGGAGGCGCACTTCGCCGTGCTGAAAAGAGCTTAGAAAAGAGGGGGAAGCACTTCCTCTATGAGAAAGAGGTGAGCGAGGGTGGGGGGGGCGCACTTCTCCAATAGAGAAAAGAGGTGAGCAAAAGGGGGGGGAAGCACTTCCCCGACGGGAAAAGGGCTGAGCAAAGGGGGGGCACACTCCTCCCACGAGACAAGTAAAGGGAGTGCACTCCCCCATGGGGAGGAGGAGTAAAGGGGGTGCATTCCCTCAAGGAGCAAAAAGGGGTGCACTGCCCGCCAAAGGGCAGAGTGGAGCAAAGGGGGGAATCTTCCAGAGCCGAGGCTGCAGACAACAGATGCGGTAGTGAAGCCGCCCAGCACAGCCCGTCGTCCCCCTCCCCGCGCGGCCAGCTCCGCGCTCCTTTCCCCGCGGCGCCGCGTACCAGCCCCCACCGGGGTGGCGCCGATTGGCCGAGCCCGCCGTCAGTCCCCCCCGGCGCCCCGGAGATTGGGCGCCACTCTCACGCCCGCCACGCTCTCGGCAGAAGTCCCCTGGCCTCCTGGGTGCGGGTGGGCAGCGGGTTCGAGCGGAGGAGTAAGCCAGAGTAGCCTCGGGACCAGAGTTCCAGGGCTCATCCCCCGCCCCCCGGCCCCGGCCCCCGCCCCCGCCCCGCTGGTGGCCCGGGCCTCCCAACCTCGCCGCGAGCTCACCTCACGGCCGCGCTCCGGCTGCGCCGCTCCAGGACCAACGGACAGAAGGCGACTGCGTGCTCTGCGTCACGTGATCTGCGAGGGGCGCGCCCAGCATTACCCCCCCCCGTTTTCTCCGCTCCTCCCTTCCCTCCCCCCACCCCAAGCACCGCCACCACAGCGTGACGCAGCTCCTTCGGCCCACGCGCCTTCGCCCCTGGAGGAGTCCCGCCCCCCCCACCCCTCTTCCCCCCACCTCACTTTCCCCGGCTAAGTGCCTCACCTTCCCCGAACCCGCATCGGCGACTCCCAGAATTACCATGGAGACGGCACGGTCTCCAGACCCTCCTCTGCTCACTTCGGAATCCCACTCGACGCCACAGAATTTTCAAAGTGGATGTCCAAAAAAAAAAAAGTCAAGCCCTGAAACAACAACGCATAATTGGCACTGATACAGCACTCTGAAGTTTGGGCAAAAGCATCCATGAATCAGAGACCACACAATTCGGACAACTGGAACCGGAATGATAAAGCTCTGAAATCCAAATGGCCCTAAAATCCACATTTATGCAATAATGCTTTGTAAAATGTACCTTCCTCAAAACACCGTGGTGAATAAATGAAATTATTATCATCCCCGTTTTGGTCAACCAAGTCTCAACTCTTCCAGCTCTAGCATGTGTGGGCACCAATATCTCGTTCCACCCTCATAAAGAATCTTCGAGGTAATTGGAACTACAATCTATACGCTTTAAGCTTTGCAAAATGCTACTTACATACATTGTTTCGTTTAAACCTCACTACAACGTTGTTGAGAAAGTATGCCTGGCTTCACTGTCTCTATTTCACAAATGAGAAAACTCACAGAGGTTAAGTTTATGATTGCGTACAATTGACCAGCTAGTAAGAGTGAGACTTCCCGACTTCAAGTCCAGCACATTTTCTACTCCAACTGGCTGCTTCCTGGTGTAAAATGAGAGTCTAGGATCATCCGTTTGTACAGGATCCAATTTGTATCTGAAAGTGTAACTGAAGGTAGTTGGGAGTACAGTGTTAAGATATTGCCCAGTTCTCAATTCTGGCATGAATGTGTCACTCTGAGTCAATGATTAAGATATCACCCAAAGGCAACAAAGAGGCTAGGATGTGTCAATTAATCTTCCTGAAGGTTCTTACAGCCCAGGGATGTGGACTAGGAGACGGAACCAATAGTGCACAAAAAGATAATTAAAACTCCATAGTTCTTTACATTTTACAAAGCAAAACTTTCCTCCCACCCTGGGAAGTAGCAGTTTCCAGCATTCTCATCCCCACTCTATAGATGAAAAAACTGAGGCTCAGAGAAGTTTTATATATGTGTGTGTGTATATGTATGTATGTGTATGTATCTATGTATATATGTTCACCCAGCTAGTAAATGACAAAACTGGAACTAAAACCCAGATCTGTTTCTTGAACAGAGATCAATTTTATCTTTTGTTTCCAATTCAGTTCAACTGTGCACAAAAGGCTAGGAATACTAAGACAAAATGGTCTCTTCCGTAAAGGAGCTTACAGATTATTGGGAGAAAGCAACATGAATATAGAACATTAAATACGAAATGTATACAGATTTCAGAGGAAGGTATCTAGCTCAGTGAACCTAAGTTTACGTTTTTATAATTGCTGCACAGTAAAATATTATATTTTAAGTTAGATATTTTATTCAGGTACTTAAGTAGAACCTGATCACTTAGTTTATAAGCCCTTGAACAAGTCATTTAACTCTGAGCTTTGGGTTCCTAATAAATTAAGAGAATTGAAATACATGTTCTCTAAGGTTCCTCCAAGTCCTCAAATGTTATTGATTCTATAAGATCCATCTTTTTAAAAAACTGATCTCTTGTTTTTGCATCACCTACATTTTTAATATGTTCCTGCTGTAATGCTTACCCAGACAGCCATCTCTTAAAACAAAAATTAGAAAAGAAAGAAAGGCAGGGAGCATTTCAACAAAACTAACCAATTTGTTAACCAAGTCTGACAATATATACAATGATCCACACCCATAGTTCTCCACTTCTGCAAAGAAGGAAAGGAAGTACATTTTCTCATTTCCTCTTTAGTGACAAGCTTGGTCATTATAATTACAGCGTTCACTTTTGTATTTACTTTTATTCTTCCTGTTTACATTATTGTTGTAGTCATTGTGTATATTGTTTTCCTAATTCTGCTTTCTTCACTCTGAGTTAATGAGACTCATCTTTTTAGACATAGGTATCTTCTGACCCAAACTGAACAATTATCTCTTCCAAGTCATACCCAACAAGTGGTCATGCAGTCTTTGCTTAAAGGACTTGAATGAACCCATTATTCCTCCCAGGAACCCATCCTTATATCTAGTTATTAGGCATTTCTTTCCTACATCAGACCTAAATTTTCCTCTGAATGTGCTTGATATAAGAAAAAAAATCTTCCCAACCATCAGAGTTATCTAAAAGTGGAATGGCTGCCTTGAGAGGTAAGAAGGTATGTCAATTACTTTGTAGTTTGCCTTTGCTTCCTCACAGTGATCAAATTTTGCCTCAAAGGGCTCCAGTGTGAGCAGTATCCTGAGGATATTTTTCTCCTTACTAGCTTACAGTTAACTTTCAGTTAGGTACTTAAAATCTCCTATAGACACAGATCTTGTACACACCCTTCTTAACGGAGCTGTGTTAAAGGACTTTCATTTTGTAAGATCTGTAACAATCAGAGAATTTCATACTTACTGTTCAGTCTACCTAAGAGGACTTTTCTTTGAAATGCTTTATCGCATTTCATATGTGGTGTGGGAAAAAGTGCTGGACTTAAGAGTTGGGAGTGCCTTAGATCCAGATCCTACTTTCTGCACTTAGTAATTAGGCAGCTTGGTGGTATAGTAGATAGAGAAAAGACCTAAAGTAAGGAAAACCTGAATTCCAATTCTGCCCTAAGACATTTACTAGCCATATTAACAATGAATAATTCTTTAACAAGCCTAGGCCTCAGTTTCCTCATGTGCAAAATGGAAATGATAATACTTTTCTCTCGTGGCTATATGGATTAAATGAGATGTTTACAAATATAGAAACATTAGTTATTTTTAGTGCCATCTTAAGATTCATTATCAGTAGGATCATATTAAGGTTAAATAAAAACTAATCTTTGTCCATATGTTGTGTGATGGCAATAATTCCTACATCAGTTATCAGGTTTCTTTTTATTATGGCTTACATGTAATGTGAGCCATTTTATCATCATCAAATAAGGATAAAGATGTCCTTTTTTCCTGTCGCTTTCTCCTGTACTAGCTCCTGTTATTCCTTCAGAAATGTGAGGTAGCAATTTCAGCACCCAGAAGAAATCTAAGAAATTCAGTCAATTCAGTGTGTGTGTGTGTGTGTGTGTGTGTGTGTGTGTGTGTGTGTGTGTTTTGCAAGGGGCATCCACAGAGAGCCAAGGACACTGCTGGAGAAGGTGAAACAGGGTGATGGGAGATATTCAACTAGGTTATGCAGCCTTCAAGGTGAGGAAACAGGAAAAATCCTATTCTAATTAATTTAACCTATGGCCAAAGACCTTACAAGCTCTGGGATCAAATGCAACAAGTCCATTCTTAACATCTTCTCCCAAAAAGGTCATATTTTCCTTTTTTTTTTTTGTGAGGCAATTGGGGTTAAGTGACTTGTCCAGAGTTACACAGTTAGCGAGTTACGTGTCTGGGGACAGATTTGAACTCAGGTCTTCCTGACTCCAGGGCCAGCGTGCTATTCACTCCTGCCACCTCACTGCCCCAGTTCATATTTTCTTTGACTGTGTGCCTCACTCAGTTTACTCTATAAAATCTCCCATATCTAGGCTTCTAAAAATGTAATGTGTTCCATTGTTTGTACTTTAAGGAGCCTAGAATGTTGGCCAGAAAACATAATACCTTCACATTCTTCCTATTACCCCAAAAGCCTCCCAACTGCATGATTAAATATCTTTCTAAGAAAGCACGGACTGGAGACACAGAAACCAGGTGATCTGAAGAGTAATGATATACAAAGTGAAAGTTCAAATTTATGTTATTTCCTTTGACACTTAGAATCAAAGGACTAAGCAAGAAGCATCTTAGATTTGGGGCTTTTTTTTTTGTCTTTGTTTAGGGCACGTTCATCAATTTAGTGTTTTTCCAAATTGCCAAGATCTTCTAAGTACACTGAGAAGTGATTTAAGGGTACTATAAACTAAGGCTGATATAATCAAAAAATTTGTTTCCTCCTCTAGATAATATTAACCCAATACCATAAGGCTCAACTCTGAGCCACCTGGGTTCTTAACAATTTCAGAAAAAGTTTTATAGGTAAAAAAGTAAAGAATTTAGAGTCAGAAAAAATGGGTTCCAAACTAAATTCTACTTCTTACTTCTTACTACTAATTGTGTGACCTCGGGTAAAGAACTTTATTCTTTATTATATGTATATATAATATATGTAATAAATGGAGTTAAGATGCCCTACATAAAATAAATAGGATTAACAGATGCCCTTTAGATTGTATTTATGCATCTATTTTAAGGATAAAAAGAGACAGTTGGCAGTCAATCAAATAGCACTTATTAAGTATCTATAATGTGGCTGGAACTGTGATAGGCAATGGGAACTACAAAGAAACAATTCCAACTCTCATGGAACTATGAGGGAAGAAAACATTTGTGTGTGTGTGTGTGTGTGTGTGTGTGTGTGTGTGTGTGTGTGTGTAATATATAAAACAGAAGCAGAATATATACAGAATAAGTCCAAAATAAATATAAAATAAAGAGGTAATTTGGGAGGGAGGACACTGGCATTAGTAGATGGGAGTATGCAAGCAACTTGCCATTGTTCAAATATTTCATTTTTTGCCTTGGGACTGGCTGACTCTCCATTCCTGGGATGGTCTTCCTCCTCACCTCTGCCTCTTGATAAGCTTCTTTCAAAATTCAGCTCAAATACCACCTTCTGCAGGAGGCCTTCTTGATTATATACCTCATCCCCTTTCCCCAATTTCAGCCACCCCTCTTATCCTCTACAAAGTATGTATCATGAGTATACCTATTTATATATTGTCTCTCACCAATCTGTGTAAACTCAAGGCCTGGGACAGTTTTTGCCTTACTGAGCAACTCCAGTATTTAGCACAGTACCTAGCCCATAGTTAGCACTTAGTGTTTGTTGATTGATTGAAAAGGCTTTGTAGTGCATGAGCTGATTTTACCAAGAAGGGTGGGATTCTATGAAGGTGAGAGAGGAATTCATTATAGACTTGACACACCAAGAACCCGCAATGCCGTTAAGTATAAGGTACAGGGAGACCACTTTGGCTTTTTCATAGAAATGCAGTATTTAAAAGGCAGAGTTTATATTAATCATAGAGGTAAAAAAGAACCACAGAAGTTTGAGTAGTTCAGTGACATGGTCAAGTGACACACTAGAACACTAGATCCGTGCTCAAGGAAAATCATTATGGCAAGCTGTGTGGTTTGGGTTTAGTAATAGGCCATTGCAACAATCAGACAGAAGTCACTGATGAGAGTCTGAACTGAGGTGGTGGCTATGTTAGGAAGGAAACAGAATCAGAGATGTTGCAGAGTTGGAAGGTACATGATTAGACAATACTTGGAATGCAGAACAAGGAGCGAGGAAAATGCTGACATTATGGGACACTGGAAGGATAATTTGGAAGAGATCTGGGTTTAGGAGAACGATAGTTTTGTTTGGGAAATATTGAGTTTGAGATGTCTCTGTGACATTCAGTTTTAAATATCTAATTAGCAAAAGCTATTTTCCTTTCTTTTACACTCTTTTGCTCCAGAAAGCTGGAGCTTATTTCCAATAAGGAGCTGGATTTCTTAGGAAAAGGAATAAAGGAAGGGAGTTATTTACAATAGAAATGAGTACAAAATACATTACCTTTACAAAAACTTACCAGTCTTCCCCTAACACTGAATTTACACAAAACATTAACTGCAGTTAAACCCTACTCGGTGGGAGGAGGCTTTCTATTTTGAAGAGTAAAGCCAAACTTACTTTCCAACTGAAAATATATAAGGAGGTGCTCTTTTTAAAGTTTTCACTTAGAGGCTCAGAATTTAACTTAAGGCCAGTGGAAAATCTCTTGGTATGGGTGGGGGAGGGAAGAGAGGTGGGGCACAGGTGTAATACAACCGGCCAAGGCCTTTATTCTTCCCGAGTAATGTTTAAAGAGCTTAGGGGAGCTTCCTTCCCGAGCAGCAGAAAGATTGTTGCTGTACTGTGCGCCGCCGCCCTGCCCTACGGGGGCCCTCGAAAGGAACAATAGCAACCACAGTCTTCGCCAGCCCCAGGGACCCGACTTGGACGGACGCCAAGTGCCACAAACTAGTGACAAAGCTAAGCAGGGTAGAGGCTGCTCGTGCCACTTTCCGCTCTCCCGCGCCCCCTTCCCCCCGCCCCAGTTCTCGCGTGCCCTTCCCCCGCCCCTTTCCCCTAGTCAGTTACTCTTCTTTCCCAGGAGTCTTCCTGCCTTGCTTTCCTCCCCCCACCCCGAGGATTTCACTGGCTAACGGGAAAAATGGTCGTTTTCGCTTATGACCACATGGAGCTTTGGCCACATGGCAACCTGGACAGTTATCTGGAGAGCCAGGGATGGAGCGGGGAAAGAACTCCCCCCCTCAACTCTCCCCCACCCCACCAAGCTAGGAGGAACCCAGCAGCGGCAAACACCATTCGCTGTGGGGGGGGTCTCGAAAAAGACTGACTGCAGCCTAGCCAACAGACTTTCTACTAGTCGCGCCTTTCCGTTCTCGCGAGATTTCCACCCTTCCTAGGCTGGGGTGGGTGGGAGGGAGGGAGGATTTAGAAGTTGTCTTTCCAGGGGGAGGGGAAGAGAGAGGGAGGAGGGTGGGCACGTCTCTGGCGCAACTCTTGCGCGAGATTGTGCAGCAGCTCTTTAGCCGCTGCAGATTCTCGCGATATTTCAATGGGTCAGCGCTTTGGCCAGAGCAGTTTCTCGCGAGAGCCCGTGCTGGGGGCGCTGTGTGGCCCCGTCTGTGTGTGTGTTTGCGTGTGTGTATATGTGTGTTCGTGAGTGTGTGTGACTGGGAAAGCAGCGGCCGCCATTTCAGGGAGTTGCAGTCACTGTCGCACGGTTGGATACCGATTTGCCGCAAGCCGCCGCTCTGCTTCACCCGCGCGGGCTCTTCTAATCCCATTATTCTCTTTTAGATCCGCTCCGGCCCTGCCGCCCTCTGCGCCCGAAACTCGGGCTGGGCGGGCGGGACGGACCGCGGCCTGGGCCCAGGCCGCAGCGGCTTAACAGTAGCCCCGGCGGCAGCGCCTCCCCGAAACGCGAGCACCACACTTGCTCGAGAGCCCGCACAGGTAAGAGGTCTCGGCGATAGCTCTCTAAACCCTCCTTTTCATTACCGTTTTCTTTCTCCAGGCATGGATCCGGCCCCACCCGGGGGCCGAGGGAACTCGGATTCCCTGCGGCCGCGCCGAGCCGCCGGGGTGGCCACGAAGGGGAAGGAGGAGGGGGAGGGGTAGCTCCAAAGGGGTTAGCCGAGCTAAAGGAAAGGCCTGGGGGCCAAAGGGGAAGTTGCCGCGCCTTCGGGCAGGTTGGCGAGGAGTTTTAGGGTCTGCATTGAAGCCTCGAGGCAGGGAAGCCCCAGCGCGGACGTCGACAAGCCGCCTCCGGGAATCGTAGGCCTAGGCTGGGGCGCTTGGGGTGGCCGTGACCTCTCAACATGGCGCGGAACGAGCGCGGCCCTGGCAGAGCCCCCCGCCCTTCCTAAGGGAGTTTCCCTCAGCCCTTAATATGGCAAGCGGCAAGGACTGGCCCTGGGTGTCCCTACTTGAAGCTGGTGAGCCACTTGTAGGTGCCCACGGTTCCCCCTTCGGCCCTCGGCCTGTGTGAGGTAGGCCGGCTAGTGTGAGGTAGGCCACCCACCCCACCCCCACCCCAAGCATCTATGACATGCGAGGCAGTCAGTCCTCTCTGTGTTCTTGTCCCAGGCAGTTTGCTTGACCGAGGCATCCCTGTTGCCCGGCATTGAAGTGCGTTATTAAGTAACTAGGTTACTAAACAACTTGAGGATACTTCTGATGTTGGGAAAGAACTGTTTCCAGAGTTTAATAACGAAACCAACTCAGTCAAGTAAAATGCAAGCTTAATGAAAAAGCCCTTGCTTTTTTTGTAGGTGTTGTGAAAGAATGGCAGACGATATTGATATAGAAGCAATGCTTGAGGCTCCTTATAAGAAGGTGAGAAAAACATGTCGGTGAGGTTTTATATATTCCTTAATTTAGCATTATTCATGAAACTACTGCTGAAATGTAAACTAACATCCCCGGAGCCCTCATGATTTATCTTATCAGAGATGCATTACATGTAACTTACAAAGTAAATATATGCTATTGATGTAATAATATTGTGCAGTAGTTTCACTTCAGCGTGATGAATAAATGCCCATCTATCTCTCTTTGTAGACTTGCCTAACGATATCTCACCTCTACTCCCATGAATTCACCTTTGATTCCAGTGTGAACTGTCAATCATAAGGTAGTAATTGAGTGACTTATCGCTGTACCGTGGTCCCCTAGGTAAAATGACTCGACTAAGAATTACCAGCTCCAGTTTGGTATAGCAAGAAGGTGAATGCAGTGGTTTGGGAAAATAGCAGGGGTCCAAGAATAATCTTATTTACCAGTCTGTGGCAAGTAAATATTTTAATGAGGAAAGTTTTCTCAACTCATGTAATGAGTGAGATTTGTATTTTTATCTTATTTTTTTGGTGTAGACGACTGGTGATAGTAAAATCTTAAAAACAGGTCAGGTTACAATCAGCTACTAAGTTAAAAGCACATGATAAATTCTTGGATCCCTGAACAGAAATTTCTTAGCAAATTAAAGAGGCAGTATCACAGTGCAGTGTTATTTTAAAACTTGTACTGTCCTCACTTTTGTAATAACTTAATTAGGACCTGCTATAATATTTCACACAAAATCTTTTTTTAAAAATGTTTTGGATGATGTAGAGTAGCTAGTTTTTGACCCATTTCTCTATGGCAGCAAAACTATACTGTCTTTTCATTCTTTCACCAGATGGTGGTGAAAATGTTAACTATATGCATGCATTATCACTGGTTTCACAAACTGTAGACTTTATAAGTTAGCAGTTATACTCTTAGTACAACTGGTGTAAATAAAATTAAAATAAAACTGGTGTGATTTTTAAAAATAAAACCGCTATTTGTTTTGGAGTATGTAGCTCGACCATGTGGTACCAATTGTGGATGAGTATTTATTAGCTGTAAACACTGTATACTTAGTTTTAAGTAATAACATAGAATCTTGAAAGAGCTACTTTCATAATGTGTAATGTTAAGATTTTTGTGCTACCCATAGTTTAACATGGATATTTTTCCATGTAAAACAGGTATGGAAATAGGGAATGTTTAGGCTGGACTGGTGGATTATTAATGACTTTCTTGGGTTCTTGGGAGTCAACATTACTAAAGCAGTGTGAATCCCTGTTTGCTTCAGGGCGAGATGTGTGACAGAGGTGGCATCAAGCTCTTACAGTCCCAACCCTCCAACGAAAATGGGCGAAGATCTCAGGAATGGCATCGGTCACAGGAAATCGATAGTGGCTGGCTGCTAGCATGGCCACTTGGGGCTTAGGCAGAAATATAGCCGTGGTACTGATGAAAGGGACATAGTACATGGAATAAAACTTCAAACATGAGTCTTTATGTTTTATAGAAATTACATTTATCCACTTAACCACTTCAGTGCTATAAATCTATAGGATAACTTATTTAAACTTTGTAAAAGATACCTAAAGCTTAAATTGTTTTATATGGACAGCATAATTCTTGCTTTTTATTGTATGCCTAAAATGTAAACAGCAAAGTGGTTAAACATACCCATCTAAATTCTTCTTATAGCTTTCCAAATTAAACTATAAATAAGTAATTAGTTTTTAAATTGTCTTGTATTTTTTTATTCCTGTTCCCTTTACCCTTTGACAACTTGAAATGTTTCCACTTCGTCCTCATGATGTTCTTCTATCAACCCTGCTTAGGATGAGAACAAGTTGAGCAGTGCTAACGGCCATGAAGAGCGTAGCAAGAAGTAAGTTTTTGGAAGGGATTTAGGGGGGATAAACTTTGTTATTTAAAGCATGGAACCTAAAGATAATAGGCAAGAACTTACTGATAGTGTCTTTTATTTACTTGGAGCCTTAGAAAGGAAATTTTTCCTTCTGGAGCCTTTTGGTTTTGCCTATTTTAGAACTTGACCTACTTTGTGTTTTGTTGTTAACCGAAGTTTAATAGGCAGTTTTTTGAGATTTCATCTACTTGCTGGTCTTTATTATTATTTTTTAAAAAATTTATTGCTCCTGTGTTCTTGTATCTTCACAACATCATCTTTCTGAACCTTATGGCAGAGCAAAATGTGCTTTAAGAACTTAAAAGGAGAAACTAGGGCACTGAAAGAACTTAAGTTCCCCAAATCATACATATAATACTATTGTCAAAGCCAAAAATAGTTGAAAGTTGCTCAGCTCCCTTTTGTAATCACAATACAAAGTTTTAATGCAATTTCTCCCTTCCTCAAGTTATGTTTCTTCACCTGAAGCATTTTGTTTTCTGTGGGTATATGAAGAACCCAAAGTAATACATCTGCTTTGGACACACACCCTTCCAGTTAGAAACTGGGTAGTCTGACCTGTTTAAAGGAGGTCATAGCAAATAATTTCTTGAAGTTCCCTTCGGCTCTAATGCCTGTGTTGTTATTTAGAAGTCTTATATCAGCATTAAATGTGTGTTTCAGGTAGTGTTTGAAATGTGTCATATTGAAAAATTTTTGATTGTAGTCATGACGCATATAATACATATTGCAAAAATGATTATAAATACTCATTTGGTTCTTTTTTTGGCTCTTTTCCTCCTAAGAGCTCAAAGTTCTTCACTATACACTACCTCATGCATCCTTACAACAACTCTGTTAGGTAGGTAGATATAATTTCCATAAAATAGATGTGTTAATTTGTTAATGAAATAGATCATTATTATTATCTGGATATACTATACCAGAAAATTTTATTTTTGTATAATATCCAAAACCTATTATAGTCCCTATTGAATTAGAGAGACGGGAGTAACTTAAATAGAATATCCTGCCTTTACATAATGTCAGTTGGGAATTCTAGGATGCAGTTGTCACAAAGCGAAATTAGGAACAGTTAGTTTATTATTTGTGGGGTTTTACTACCGTTAGCTTAATATTGAATTATGTACTCAGAAACAAACAGGTGTTTCAGAAAGGGTTCCAATGTGCCTTGAAGGGTTTTATGTACAGCCTTGGGATATTGGCAATTTCTGTAACTGCAAAAACATCTAAGAATGCAGTTGAATGGGAAGAATTTGTGCCTGAATATCATGTTTCAGTTAGAGGAAAAGCAACCTACATCCTAAATGGATATGAAGAAATAACTTTGTTTGGTTGTGGGCAGTAATTCTTTAAAGGAGTGAATGTTTTCATACGTTCCCAGTATTCCTTGTTATTGGCATCTCTTTGGATTTAGATGTAAACCTTGTTTCATCTTAATCCCAAACTTAGTCAAGCATTATGATAATGTTTTACACCCTGACTTGAAGTAAATAAATGGATATGGTAGAACTCTTATTAAAGTGGCTTAAAGAGAACAGAAAAGAGCCTTCTAGGCTTGTGTAGAAGACAAGTAGACAATTTGCTTTAATATAGGGGTTGTTTTAAATGAGAAACTGAAGTGGGGTGAGATTATTTAATGGCTTATAAAATATTTCTCTACTAAAATTACATGGTATCAAAGGTTTCTGATGCAGATAATCATTATGGATGACTAATCACAGGGATCCATTTTTCTGACATTGCTATCCCCATTACAAAAGCTTGTAAACAAGAAACCAAGGGAGCTCACTTAAATTGTAGCTAAAAGATAACAGGAAGAAGATATTACTGTTATTTGCTTCTTAAGGGTATATTTGAAAAAAGTAACTTGCCCATTATTCCAAGATATTGTGTATGTTCTAGTCTTGTTCAGATAATAATAAATGCTAGGCATTTTGACCAAATACATACTTGTTTGATTTCTCTCTCTTTGGTAAAGCAATTTGAACCACAAAATGCATATTTGGGATAATCAAGACATTGAATTATTGATTACATGGCAATTAAATCTGACCTTTTTGACCAAGGTTGATGCCAGTAATATCAGTGGGAATAAAAACATGTGCAAGTTGGGGATTTAAGTGAATATGATTTAATTCACTCTGAAGAATAACTCTGAATTTAGCAGAAGCAGTTTAACAAAAATAAAACACCTAATATATTCTATGCAAGTAAAAAGATAAAAACCAACCACGTCTCTACCCTCAAGGAGCTTACATTCAAATAGATGCATCATGTAAAAATATTGTTAAATGAGAAAAGGTTTTTAATTCTTAAAATATTTAAGGTCATGTAAAGTGTAGAGCCAGAAACATAATAGGACACCTTTACATCAGTATATTTAGTTGATCTGAAGGAAAGGTATGGTTAATGCATTTATAGCCAGTGGAGCCAATGTGACATAATATGCATTATACAAATATTTGATAAGGTGTTAAAGGATGGGCACAAAGATGAAGGTAACAAAAATGGAATATTTTGGCTACCTTAGTATAGGTATTATACAAAATTTGAACAAATGATTTTCCTTCCTTAGAAAAGCTTCAAATACCAGTGTGCGTTATGTTTAAAATTGAAATTTCCCTATATATGGAATAAGGCAAATTCACGTACAGGTTTTAATAGACATTATGACAGACGTTATTCAACAAAAACCTAAGCCAGCAAGTGGCCTACTTTAAAAGATTGTACAGAATTAAAATAAGAATTTAAGTATTGTCTTGGAATTAGGTGTAGCAAGGTCTGTCCTATTACATAGATTTTAATTTCAATCTCTTTCATTTGATTTAGGTTTCTAAAGAAACACTTAAATACTTAAGCTTTTATTCAAATAATTCAGTTAACTAATTGGTATAGTATGTTACTATTCTAGTCAGTGCAACCTTTTATACCTGACGAGCTGCCATGAGGACAAGAACCTTTTGAAGCAGCTGTTGAAAGGGGTAGCAGCCCTTTCTTTGAATTGGTCTTGGGGCCAATGACAAGTACATAAAGAGGTTGTCCACTTCATTTAGCTGTTTAATGGCCTGATATCAGTGAGCAGATGCCTTCATCCAAATCTACATAGTATTTGTGGGGCATGCCTTTATTTACTTATTTTTAGTTGACCTGCCCTATCTGTTGAGTAAAAATAAAGGTTTTGATTCTTACTCTCAAAAATCCTTCAGCAACCTATATGATAACAGTGTCAGGTTTTCCAGACAACAAAGTTGGAATGTTATCTGTTGCCTTTTTGGGCATTACTATGATGACGTCTATATAAATAATGAGTGTAGCCTAATTTTCTGACATGTGCTACTAGCATATAAATTTCTGACAGTCAGGTGGATTATCTTGAAATTTTAGACAAAGTTTCTGCCTCCTTGGAAAGCTCTACATCTCCTTGTGATTGGAGTGTGGGTTTCAAGATTCCAGAAGGTGGGTGTCTTCGTTTTCTATTTTCAATGCATTCCCAGATGACCTGCCTCCAGGATCTCTGAGGCAGATCGTAATTGCTCCTATGCTACTTTCTGCATTTAAAATTCTTCATCTGGATTAAAAATTGTTTACATTTCAAAATAACACAAGGGCCTAGAATATGTCACTAGTAGTGAATACCTGAACTTTCAGCCACTGCAAATTGACTTTCTTTAGAGGGGAAAAGAAGACTTCTTTTCTTTCTTTTTCTTACCGAAATGGTGTTGAAAGGATATCTTACCTTTAGGTATTGAACTTGGGTGGGTTAGGGAGGAATACAAATGCTTCATTCTGCAAATTAACTGGGTTGTACGTATGGGGAGTTTATTGTAGGAAAGGGCAGCATATGATCAGTTTGCAATTTTTAGTGATGTTAGCAGTATTACTGTGTTTCACTGACAATCTATTTAAATTGGACCCTAAATTGCCTATCAGGTCAATTAACTGAATTTAACCACTTCCTGTCTTGGTCATCCAAGATGTGAGCACAAGAGAAAATATAAATTCAGTACACATCCTTACATGTAACAATTAACTAAGTCCAGCAAACTAGGCATATCAGTTAAAAGAATTTGATTATGCATTAGGATATTGTCAGAGTGCTTTGTAAGTTATTTGTTATCCTCGAAGCAAAATAAAAATAAATTTGATTATGGACTTTTTTTTCCCATATCTTAAAGAAGAGACATTTAAGTCCTAAGGGTTGAGTGAGGTTAAATGTAGGGCAATATTTAGTGGGAGTTTTTTGTGTTATCATCTATCTAAATAATGGTTAAACTGCATTTACAACTCTTAATTTTAATTACTAGTTTTGGTAATATATTTCTTCATATGCAGTAGGTCAAGTTCACTAGTTACATATAGGTTGGCCTAAATTTGACTAGATAAATTCACTTTTGAACCTATCCTAGAATATGAGTTGACAGTATACCAACTAAAGACTTGAAGAAAGAAATTGATTTTCCCTGCCACTTAAAGTATTAACCAGTGGAGGACCTCATAACCATCTCCATTCTTCTGCCATGGTCTAGGAAGTTCTATCTATCAGCAGGTGCATTGAGTAGGAGTATAAGAGGTCATTTAATGGCAAACTTTTGATGCCACAGTTTTGTAGCAGGTAGAAGTAGGGTTTGGGGAAAATGTTGATTCTATTTGGGAAGGCTTTTTTTTTCTTTTTTTTTTTTAGGTTTATTCTTGAGTGACTTATATCAAAGAAATTTTATAAAAGTAAAATAAGTGAAGCCAAAGAAAGGGAAATTAGACTTATTTTGAAATTGCAAAATAAATGTAATCTTTTCTTTTCAGGAGAAAAAAAAGCAAGAGTAGAAGTCGAAGTCATGACCGAAAGAGGAGCAAAAGTAAGGAACGGAAACGAAGCAGAGACCGGGAAAGGAAAAAGAGCAAAAGCCGTGAACGGAAACGTAGCCGAAGCAAAGAACGAAGACGAAGTCGTTCTAGAAGTAGAGAACGCCGATTCAGAGGCCGCTATCGAAGTCCCTAGTATGTAATCCCTATGAATTTTATTACATCATGTTCTTGATTCATTCTTTTACTTGGTGTAATTCTTTGAAAATCAGGTTATTAAAAATAATGATAAAAGAAATATATCTTTAAATTTGAGGGATCCTAACGGATTTTTAAAGGCAACATAGGGTTAATGACATTCAAAAGCTAAAAGTAGTGAAATGAAATACCAAAAACTTGGCGAGGTGTGGTGATTCATGCCTGTAATCCCTGGTACCAGGAAGGCTGAATGAGGTTGGTGGATCACTTGAACTTAGGAGTTCTGATTCACTTCAGAACTAAATTAACTGGGTGTGTGCACAAAGTACAGCACCAGAATTATGCACCTCCAGGGGTAGGAGAACTCACTAACTAGGCTGCATAAAAAGGGACAAACCAGCCCAAGTCAGAAATGAAGCAAGCAGGTCAAAGCTCCTGTACCATTCAGTAGTAGGAAAGGGCTTATGACTGGTCACCATACTTTTAGCCTGAGCAAGATCAAATAGCTCCAGTCTTCCCATCCCCCCTAAAAAAAAGAAAAGAAAAAAACTCAAAAGCTTAGTAAAAATAACATTATTTAAACTATATTCTACTTTACATAATGGACTTCTGGCTATCGACAGTGGACTCAAAGTGCTATGTATGATGTACCAAGTTCATGAATAGATGTCATTGTGGTCCAAACCAAGAAAGAAAAAATTTCAGGAATAGATGTAGCAAATGACAAAGGACTTTTTCTAAGCAGTATTTATGTTTTCATCTTTGAGAAGACTGTATGTTAACTATTACAAATCCTTCAGTTAGTAAATACTCATATTGCTTGATATTTCTTACTTTCAAATATTAAGTCACACAAGAGAACATACACAATGGAATTTACTTTGACTAAAGTTTTAATTAATCTGAAAGGATTTTAGGGTACCCTTTTTTCCCATTTTCTACACATATCTTGAAAAATCTGTGTTTCTTACTGTTTGGGTTTCCTGATAATGACATGACAATTTGCATATAATGCCATGTTTGATGTTACAGTGAGGTTATGGAACAAAAGTTTAAAGCCAAAGCACTTGGAAACAGAATGGTCAACATAAAAACTGATTTGCTGATTGATTTTCAGTGTTTGGGAAAATAAGACATATTAAAGTAGGTAAAAGCCAAATAGCTAACTCTTAAGGAATTCCCACTATAATAACAATATATGTAACTCTTATTCACACAAAACTGAAAATCAAGAAGAGCCCATAACGTCTAGACCTGGCTCTATATTAATTAGCTCTGTGAATCTCCCTTGTAAGATATAACTACTTTTCTGGGCTTCTTTTCAGTCTTCGTAAAATTCAAGGATTGGTGTCTGTGGGCCCCAGTAAATCCTATAAAAATAGTAGCTATAAACTGAAAAGTAATGATTTGCTACATAAACTGGGCATGAAAGGACAGTATCGTTGCTATCTGAAAAAAACAAGTTCTGCCACTATATGCTTTTTTTTTAAACTTCAGCATTTTATTTAGCAACTTTCCAAATAGTATAAAATTATAATAGAGATTGAATAAACTTTTGTGCAATGTGGTATTACTGCTAATATTTAATTGTATGTTTTTATAAAGATTTTTATTTTGAATACATAGTTTATGTTCAAAAAATATTTCCACTGTTTTCCTATTATAAGAAATCCATGTAAAATGAGATTTACTTAGCAGAAGTTCACATTAAAATAATGGGGCAGGGCTATTAAAATGAAAAGTACTACTAATTTGTTTCGTTTTGCTTTACATTTTAATGATTGAACATTGTAGAAATATTGAAAATCTACCACCTGAGATTTAGCCATCTTAATTGTATACTTTATTTTTTGGTATGTTATTAAAGTAGAAAGGACAAATAATGGAATTTTATGGATTTAATTCCAACACCACCACCACCCATCCCTGAAAAATGGCTAGTGGTTATTATCCCTTGACTAAAAGATATTTTTAATCTTTTAAACATGTAACATTTATACTTGAGACATCTGTGAATTAGGTGCTAAGATTTATTTAAAGGATCTTTTAAACACCCCATAGTTAATTCTGACACAGACCAGCTATTTCTTTGGTGGGGTGTTTTGTTTTGTTTTGTTTGGTTTTTTAAAATAAAAGTAAAAGTAAATTACTTTAAGCTAGGCAATAGCTCAAACATACCACTTCATTATGTTCTCAAGATAAAGGCCTTTTTTTAAAAAAATTCATTGAATCCAAACTGATGTCCTGAAATAAAAGTGCAAAGTAATCTCTATGAAAGCCCCTCTTCAGATGTTGATGAAATTTTTCTCAAACCTGGAGTTAGGGGAGCAATACAAAACATTTTCTTATTAAAAATTGGTGATCATTGTACAGTTTTGTGGCACAGAATACTAGAAATTATCTCCTAGAGCAGCAAGGGTTCTTAACCTGGATCTGTGAACTTGTTTTTAATAACTATTTTAAGATAAGTGGGTTCCTTTGTAATCTTTGTGTTTTTCTTTATAGCTCCGGACCAAAATTTAACAGTGCCATCCGTGGAAAGATTGGGTTGCCTCATAGCATCAAATTAAGGTTTTTAAACATACTTATGAATTGTTTTAAAAAAAATTGTTTTTCAAGTAACTAGTGTGGTGTTCCTGTTTGGGTAACTTCTGAAACTTTTAACTTTACAGCAGACGCCGCTCAAGAAGCAAAAGTCCATTCAGAAAAGACAAGAGCCCTGTGAGGTAGCTGTTGTCCCTATTTCTTATCTTCTCACAAGCTTTCAGCCTTACTAAAACTTAGGCAATTTATGATACTGAAAAACTTAACTGTGTTTAATAATTTGGTATACACATAATACCTTGCTGTTTTTGCAAGTTTACTCTTGTAGCCCATGTTTACTAAGATACCCAAAATCCCAGCAAGTTGTTGACAGCTTTCATTTTTCCCTTTATAAAAATAATTATGCAACTAAAAAGGGCCAAAATTATACTGTGCTAATGGTGTATCTAAAAAAGAACTTTTCCTTTTAATGAACTACAAGTCCCCATAACAATAGCACTGCTATTGGTATGTGTTAACTCAATATTGTGAAAATTATTAAAGTTCAAATTTAATACTGCATTTAGCTTAATGTGACACAGGAGATAGAGTCAGACCACTAATTTGTTTTCTTAGACTTGATGTTTTCCTAATTGACTCTTTGCTGCTGTAAAATAAGAAGTATCAGACTTCATCAGACCAACTGTCCATCCAACCTAGTGTTCTGTCCGTCCATGACATCCTCAGAAGGTTAAGGTTATATTCTCTTCCCCATACCCTTCCACCTTGAAAAAAATAATCCACATAATTTTCTTTGCTTCACTGAGAAATCTGTTAGGCATTTATCATCCATGAATTTATCCATGCCCTCAATTGGAATTTGTATTCACAATAAGACTTGTGATAACTTACGGAAGTTTTATTCATTATATAAAGTAGTACTTTATTTTTAACTACTTTGTATAATTTAATTCCAATTTTTGTGTATACCATATAATTCTGGATTTGCCAGAAAAGCTTTTATCCTACTATGCCCTTCATGGTCATGTCTATTTTAATTATATTTACATAAAGAAATTCCTCTAATCCCTGTATCCTGATAGTTATTCTCTGGATCTTCTCCAGCTGTGCCAATTCTTTGTCTTGTTTGAAGTGCAGTCATCAGGATTACATTTTATGAATTTAAAAATAGCATTTCAGGGGTAGATACTGGAAATTGACTGATTTTTTATAAAAGGTCAGGCATTCATTTTTACTACTTTGTTTCCAGTATGATTCTTGATGATGCCTGGTATTTTGTTGGCCCTTTTAGTCACCAGAGTACATTTGGTTGCTAACTTCAAGGAAACACACCTACAGTGACTCTTGAGCCTTTTCGTTTGTTGATAGCTGAGTCTTATTTTAATCATTCCTCCCCCATACTTCACTTTCTTCCCATTTGAGTAGCTTATATGCTCTTTTCAGCTTAAGCTTTACACTATAGTTTTTACAATCATCTAAAAAAAAAGTTTAGTGTAATTCTCAAACTTGGTATGATACCTCTTAATGCTAAATGCTACAGTGTCCTTGAAGAGGACTCTCAGTATAGAGGAATGCCCATTTATTCCTAGACATCACTTCCTTGTGTAAATGGCAGTTGATAATCCAAGACAGAATATTCCTCTTAATCTGAGAAAGATGCGTTATTTTGTTTTAATTTGCTTCTTTGGGGCTAGGAAGCAGGTTTTAAAATAGGACCTTGAAAAGATTTCTTTAAAACCTAAATACACTACAGTGTTCTCCTGCCCCATCCTATGTTTATTCATCTTCAAAGAACTTCAGTTATAAAAATTGAAGAGCTCTCCCATTTTCAAAGGGTGGTTGTAGTGAAGTATATTAGAAGAAACCTTGAGTTTCTAATTATATATGGTGAAACCTAAGGGTTTTCACTGGACATCTCAACCCCCAAATATATTTGAGCTGCTTTGACAAGCTTGCCAACCCATATTGATAGTATTTGGGAATGTACACTGGGATGAGTCTTGCTTAGGTGGTATTATAGGAATAAAAGCTTCGTTCCCTAGATGATAATGAAAAAATTATCTGGGGAGGTTTTATTGTCATGGATTTTGATTTATGCAACTGGTATCTTTGTGGAGATAGTTGTAGGCATAAAGAACTTTTAATTTCCAGTTTATTCTGAAACAGGCAGTGTGCTATAGTGGAAAGAGCACTAGATTAGGAGTTTGAATTATAGTCCTGGTTTTACTTCTAATTTGGACACATTATTTCACCACTTTGGCCGCTTATAAATTGAGTGAATTAGACTATTAAGAGTTATCTTGAAGGTCCTTTCCTTCACATTCTAAAATTCTGTTAACTTTGTGATTAGAATTTAAGCAGGTATTAACTTAGTTTCTCTCTTCAGAGAACCTATTGACAACCTTACTCCAGAGGAAAGAGATGCTAGGACTGTGTTCTGCATGCAGCTGGCAGCAAGAATTAGACCAAGAGATCTGGAGGAGTTTTTTTCTACTGTAGGAAAGGTAATTATCTTGTTTATTACAAATGGTTAGAAGCAAGGATAAGTCTAGGAGGGAAAAGTGGTGGAGGGGAAAAGAATAATAAGGAAGAAATAAATATTTTAATAAATTTCAGGTAAACTTAGTAATGTTATGTTCAGCATATCAAAGTTATTTCATTATAGTTGAAAACCATATTTTCCCATCATAATCTATAGTAAAAGGAAGAGATGATTTGGAGTCAGAGCTTAGGTTCAGATCTTAACTCTGCCATTTATTATTCCTTTCTGACTTTTGGCAAGTAATCTTACTTTGAGCTTGAGTTTTCTCTTGTAAAATGTGAGGGGGTTAGATCTATAATGTGACCTCAGGATGAATGGCACCAAACTGACACCCAAAAAACGTTCAGTACCTGAAAAATGGAAAGGGTGAAGCTTTTGTTGGAAATTTTTGAGATTATAAATGAATTTTGTATTTGTGATTAAGAAGTTTGAGATTGTAAAAAAGAATTGGACATACATTTGATTCTTAGGAAACAATATTAATGTTTTGGTTGTCTGTCCATATAAACTGTGCTTTAAAACTGAGGGATCTTAATATTTAAAAATCTGTGAGAAGGGTTTCATAGGCTTTCCCAGGCTGCCCTGACACAAAAAATAGACTAAAAAACCCCTGCTTAAAAGGGAACTATTAGAGAATTATTTGTTGGAACCAAATTATTAAGGCATTGTTCATATGACCTCACTGCCAGGACATGGAAATAGTCCTTTGTGATAAATCAACAAGCATTTGGCTGGCACTGTGTCCTGTATTATAGTATTAAGTAAGTAAAAACTAATTGATAATCTGAGTTGAGTAGAATGCAGAACAACTTCTGCCCTGGGCCCCATTGCTACTGTCACCCTTACTCTCCCTCACCACTTATCTACTCTTTTTTCATTCCAGCTAAAATAAACTCTCTGGGGATATTTGCATGTTAAACATAGTATTTCTTCTAAGAAAGAAAATAGGATGCCTTTCTCTGCCCAAATGTAAAGGTATAGAATTAATACTAACTCCAATGTTCTAGTTTTATAAAGCTTACTTTTCTACCTATTTTTGTTACAGGTCCGTGATGTAAGAATGATTTCTGATAGAAATTCCAGAAGATCCAAAGGAATTGCTTATGTAGAGTTTGTTGATGTTAGCTCAGTGCCTCTAGCAATAGGATTAACTGGCCAGCGTGTCTTAGGAGTGCCTATCATTGTACAGGCCTCACAGGTAATTTAATTTTCTGCTAGTTAGGGAATTTTTATTAGAGTTTTGATATGGTCTATTTACAGTTTTTCTCTGCCACTTCCCTTGTTTACCATGATTATAAATTTATTGTCAATGTTGGCTTAACTAATTAAGAAGTCTTACATCACAGAAACACAATATTTAGTATTTTTAAAATCATCACATGCTTATGGAGTGGGCAATTTGTAGAGATTTTAATACTATTATACTTAATATCTTATACACAACTTACTTAACAGATAAGAACACTAGCATGTTTAATTGTCCATCTTTTATTTAAAAAGAATAACGTCAATGAAATCAGGTCAGGTTGCTAATTTCTATTTTGCCTAAAAATCTGTTTTAATACAGTGAACTTACCCTATTTCACAAAAAATATGAATGTACTTTATAAATGACACTCCACTATTTAAGATTATCTATGACAAAATTAAAAGTTGAAGGTTTTGTCTTAGACATTCCTTTTTGGATGACAATTTAGGAAAGAGGGAAAGTAATAAACATTTATATAGTACCTCCTACGGAAGCACTGTGTTGAGTGCTTTACAAATATCTCATTTGATTTTGATATATTTAACACTCACTGTTAAGTGTGTATGTGTGTAACATTTTCTGCTTAGTAAGTTACAGTTTTGGGTTACTGAGGCAAAAGAACTAGGGTTAGGAGCAACGTGGTTATCAATGAGCAGATCAGGGCATATAGTCTCCAAAAAATAATGTAGTTAACTTTGATTACCTTGTATATAATGGGTTCTTAGCCAAATAAAATTTAGATAAATGGGCGTGAATGTGATTGAGGAAATACCGCTTAACATTTTTGGAATCATCTTAACATCAGAATGTTCAGTTTTGCTGTGTTTTGCCTGTAATCATTGTTAATGGTCGGTTTTCATTTGTGTGTAGGCAGAAAAGAATAGAGCAGCAGCAATGGCAAATAACCTACAGAAAGGAAGTGCTGGACCCATGAGGCTTTATGTAGGATCATTACACTTTAACATAACTGAAGATATGCTTCGTGGAATCTTTGAGCCTTTTGGCAGGGTGAGTTCTTTTTCAAATTCTCAGTCCTTCTAATCTAAACTGAGTAACTTAATCTGAATCCTTTACCCCAAGGACCTGTTGTGCATTTCCTGACTTTAATATTAATAATTTAAATTGAAATATTAATGGTCTCACAGAACAGAAAAATTATGGCACTGTCCATAGAAAGTCCTTTTAACTTTCATTTTAATTTGAGTTCCAAATTCTTTCCCTTTAGCTGCTTCACACCCATTTAAAGGCAAGCAATATATTATTCATGCAAAGTCATGCAAAAGATGTTTCCATATTAATAGCTACATTGCAAAAGGGGGAGGGGGACAAGAAAAAACTTTTTTAAAGTATGCTTCAATCTGTGCTCAGAATTCATCAGTTGTCCCTGTACATGGATAGTGTTTTTCATCCTCAGTCCTTTGGAATTATCTTAATCAGAGTAGCTAAGTCTTTCACAATTGATCATCCTTAAAGTATTGCCATTATGTGCAATGTTTTCTTGGTTCTGCTCACTTCACTTTGCATCAGCTCATATGGGTCTTGCCATGTTTTTTCCAAAACCACTCCTTTGTCATTTCTTACAACACAGTTTTAATTTAAATTTCTCATTATTATTTAGAGCATATGTTATGTGACTTAATAGTTCTAATTTTTTTTTCTCTGAAAATTGTTCATATTCTTTGACCACTTATCACTTGGGGAGTGGTTCTTATTTTTACAAATTTGGGTCCGCTCCCTATATATTTGAAAAATGAATCCTTTATCAGAGAAACTTGATAATGTTTTAAAAGATATATATTTGATTAGGAAGGTGATAGAAAAGACTTGACTCTGTGTTGGAAATTTCTGATATTTGGTTTAAACATGGATGCCTCTTAAAAAAAATTTTAGAGTTTCTATTTAATATTAGCCTTATTCTGTATTTTAACACATTTTCATTGAGCTGTTAACACTAACTTTCATCATGTGTTACAGTCAGTTATCTGATCCAATTTCAGATTGAAAGCATCCAGCTGATGATGGATAGTGAAACTGGTCGATCTAAGGGATATGGATTTATTACGGTAAGTTTTGATTATTCTAATATTAGCCAATATCAGGGTCTAAAGTTGATGTCTTATTTTAGAGTAAAGCCTGATTACTGATTGATTTGCAGTAGGAGGAAATCCTATATGAATATCTACTACTTTAGTATTTTCTAGTGTTTAAGTTGAAATATTAGAAAATAATTTTGTTTCTTCCCAACATTTAAAGGAGTGCAAACTGTTTTTCTCTTTGTATTGTTACTGGCACTTAGCCTACTGTCTACACATAAGCATTTAGTAAATTCTTGTACATTTATTGATAGTGGACTTTTAATAAATGCTTGTTGCATTGAGTTGCTAATTGGGAATATATTGGTGCATTATAATGAATAGAAATGATTACAGAGAATACAAAAATGTAATATATGCAGAGTTTATTGATTTTAGGCTTTTATGGACACAAAGTTTAGATCCAATCTTGGCCTCTTGGAGTTTAGTATATGGTGGTCTTCGGAAGCAATTAAATATATAAAGGTCTTTTATTCTGGTACAGTGGGGAAAGTGGTGGATTTGGAAACAGGATCTGGGCTTGAATCCTGGCTTTTCCACTTACTAAGTGGGTGGCCTTGGAGAAGTAATGTGACCTCCTTGGTCTTCATTTTCTTCATCTGTAAAATGAATGTGTTGAACAGATTGTCTCTGTGGTCCCTTTCCTACTCTAAATCCATGTTTCCTGGTTTTAAATATTCTTTCTACAATTTTGATTGCTCTTTTCATTTACTTAGGTAACCCTATGTTCATCAACCCTATCATGAAGTTCAATCCAGCTTTCCTGGATTGAAATCTGATTATGAGTGAACATTTTATTTGCTTTATTCAATTTCACTTACTTTTATTTCTGGAGATAATTGCTCGATGGCCAGGGAAAGATTTACTACATTGACTGCCTGCAGAGCCCTAAATGAAAATAAAGTGTCATACATAACTGAACATGGCGTACACACATAATTTCATTAATAATAATTAGTATGATAAGAATTTTTCAAAATGTCTTAATCTGTTTTACTCCTCCTGTCCCCCAAATGTGTGAATTTGGATTTGATTGTCCTTTTGGAATCTTGGGGATTACACAGTTTTTTTGAGAATTAGCTTAGAGACATATTCTATAACAGTTTTTTGTTTACAAGTGAAAACATTTAGGCTCAAAAAGGTAAATTGGCTTGCCTAAAATTAAACAGCTTTCTAATGTGTTACAGGATTTATATAGAAGTGTACTTTAAATACATAAGCTAAAAACAACATTTTTGCTTAAATAGATTTGAATGTTTAATATTCCTTGAATTTGTGAATACATTTCATGTCCACTCCATCATTCTACAAATTTAGCCTATCCATAACATTTTTGGTACTGGTTGTTTTGGAAACAAGAAAATAGTCTTGAAGCTAATTGTCATTAACATTATAAATGTTCAAGAAAGATTCTACTTGTGACAATTTAATTTTATCTCAAATTCCTAAAACATAGTAAACAAAGATCTACCCAACTCATCCACTGATGAAAAAAAGATCTGCAAGGCAGAAGGAAAGAGTGGTTTTGTATGTGTGACAACACTGCTCTTTCCCAGTTAAATTCCATTCTTACAATTGCAGTTTGCTTTTTTTTTTTTTTTAAAACCATTGAGATATACTGAGGCTGGGTGTCAACTCATTTTTTTTTTCTCTAGGTCCTGCAGGCTAGAAATGTGATTCAGTTCTAACAAAATTCCAATACGACAAAAGAATTTGGATGTTTTGTGGAGTTGAATATAAGGAGATTTTACTTGTATACTCTCATGGTGATCTCTACACGGTTTCCCTTGGTGGTCTCATCTGTCCCATGGGTTCAGTTATTTTGCTGTAGATGACTCCCAAATCTATATATCCAGTTCTAATATCTCATCAAAATGCTAGTTTCATGCAGCCAACTGCCTGGTAGACATTTCTGCTGGGATGTGTCATTGATATCTTAAATTCAACATGCTCCAAATAGCATTTAGCGTCATGTACACTCCCCCATTCCCAAGCACTTCTTCCAAACTTCTGTTTTTATTGATGGTTTCACTGTACTCCCAGTCACCTGGATTCCTAACCTCAATGTCATTCTTAACGCTTTCTTCTCCCCCAGTCCCTTAACACAGTATCTAATAAGTTGCCAAGTTCAATTGATTGTATTTCTGTAGCATTTCACAGCTTTCCCTTTCTTTCCACTCCCATAGCCGCCGCCACTCTAGTCAGGTCCTCATCACCTCTCTTGGAACTATCATAATAGCCTCCTAATTTTTCCAACCAGCCTTTTAAGCCTGATTTCATATTACTCTGCTTCATGGTCTGTATGTTCCAGCCTCAGTACAGTACCTCGCAAATAGTAAGCATTTAATATATATTTGTTAGATTGAATTTGAGTGCGTGGAAAACCACTTTAAAGAAAGAAAAAGAAAAAACATTAAGGGGGAAATTTACCAAAAGATTGTTAGAATTTCTTTTAGTGAGTTGGCCTAATACCTTGAAAGATAATTATGAAATATTTGATTGGCACACTTTTCCCCCAAGCATGCCTATGAGATAAAGTGGGACTCAGTAGGTTTATTATATGAGGCCTGATCCTGTGCCTCCACATGAGAAGAGGCTGTCATCTGTGGTGGAGAATTCTGGATTGGGCTATATCCCTTTGCAGAGTTTCTGTTTTTCAAAAGGATGTGGTGCTCATAGTCTTCTTGGAGTTCAAAGAGTGTAAAAATCTGGGATCAGAGATCATTTAAAATATATTCCCTCACTGCAAATACATCATAAATTTAAGTGCTTTTCAAAAAAAAAAAAGTTAGCAATTTCTAGTATTATATGTATATGCTTTAAACATCCTGTTTACTTAAATATACAGATTAATTTACAAAACAATTTTAATTCTATAGTTTTCAGATTCAGAATGTGCCAAAAAGGCATTGGAACAATTGAATGGATTTGAATTAGCAGGCAGACCTATGAAAGTTGGTCATGTCACTGAGCGTACTGATGCTTCCAGTGCCAGTTCATTTTTGGATAGTGATGAACTGGAACGGACTGGAATTGACTTGGGAACAACTGGTCGTCTCCAATTAATGGCAAGGCTTGCAGAAGGTAAGTTTCTTGCAAGGATCTAAAAGAGTATAAAAGATGTAAGGGGGACATCACCTATCAGTGAGCAAGCATTTACTGGTGCTGTGTTCTGGGCACTGTTGTCAGAAACTGAAGCATATAAACCCTGGCTCTTAAAGGTTAACAGCACTTCTTTATTGATTCTATCCTGTGGTAAGAGAAAATGGCACAAGTTGTTTCAAATAATTATATATTTGATTATAAATGAACTAGACCATGAATCAGTAATTAAATACCTTTATGGCTATAAGTTAATGGAATATCACAATGAAATCTGTTGTTACCTGCAGGCCCTTGCTGTATACTTTGGACTTTCGCTGAGAAGTGGTTGCTGTAATAGGAAGGATATTCTAATTGTAGTCAAGACATATTTAATTATAAAAACCTTATTTCTTCGGGAGGGAATAGCAGCTCCACTGTTTGCTTTTTTGTTGTTGTTTGTTTTGTTTTCTAAAAGACAAGGTTAACATAAATATTACCTACTGCTTCTTTTATAGGTACAGGTTTACAGATTCCTCCAGCAGCACAACAGGCTCTGCAAATGAGTGGATCTTTAGCATTTGGAGCTGTAGCAGGTAGGAATTAAATCTCTAATTTTTCAATTCTTGAGTTTTTTTAATTCAACTAGCACTATTTGCCTAGATTTTTTTGTTTGAATGCTTTCAAATAGTTAGCTTTCCTTTAATTTCCTGCTGATTTGTCTTTTTTTAATGCTTTAACTGCTTCTCAGAGCCATAAAAAGTGCAGCTATTATTAACATAAGGATGTAGAATGGACTTTTTAGGGATTTTTTTTGGAAAGTGACTTGCCCAGGGTCTACAGAGACCAGATTTGACCTCAGGGCCTCCTGACTCCAGGGCCAATCCACTGCACCACCTTGCTTCCCCAAACTTTAAAATAAATGAACTTAAATATTGCGGTAATTAATACAGGATCTTTTTAATACTGGACTAACTAAAACCATCTTTCATGAATGGAACCTCTTTGTCTTTCTCATTGATTAAAGTCTGAATAGGAATTGGTCAAGGATAAAGCCTAGTGCCAAAGAGGCAGGAGTTCTTGTAGGTGACATCCATTAATCACTTCTACATAACTTTAGTTCTGTTAGCTACAAATGCACTCTATCAGCCCACATTTCATCAAGCTGTCATATATTAAGAGCTGGAATGGGAACGTTCTGCCGCCCCCCCCCCTTTTTTTAAACAGTTGAGGAAACTTGAAGCCCAGCCATTAAGTGATTTCTCCCCCTCTCGCCATTTCTTATCATTAATGTTCTTAAACCATATAAGTTTACCACGTTGGAAACAGTTGTGTAGCATATGCCACCTCATTTTATAAATCATTTTCTTTCTTCCTTTGAATTCGTTTAAGTGGTTCCTTATCTTTTAGTTAGAATTCCTTTAGGTTTTTTAATTCAAGAATGTATTAAATGCATTTACTATGTGTCGTAAGAAATAATAGCTTAAATGTTACACTATTATCTACACATGTTAAGGCTAGAGTACAGCTAATTTTGAGGATATGTGTAAAGGCATGGATAAGAATCAGTCACCAGACACAGAATATGGATGGGCTGTGATCTCTTCTGGGGTGGGGGAGGTACCAGATCCCTTGAGGGCATGGGCCTTGTAAAGCCAGATGCTATACTGTATATTTTTCTATCCTACTTGAAAACATTTTCAATATACAATAGTTGCCAAGGGAGTTTAAAGATAAAATATACCTACCTCCGAAATAGTAGAATTTCTTTTCTGAAGAATATTTTTAGTGTCTGATGTTTTAGTCTCACCAAACCTGTACCTTTTTCATAAGGCACTGTGTGAATTCCTGGAGTTACACAGGTCTGCCTCTTAGAATTCCATCTGTCTACCCCTGAATGAGTAGTTTAGGGACAACCATTTACTTTCCAGTAGAAAACTACAAAGTAGATTGAGAAAATTCTTATTCTCATTGGACAACATTCAGATATCTACTTTTTGTGGCACTTTCTATATGCTGAGCAAAGTACCTAGTCATAATCTGTGCTTTCTACTAATTTATGATTACTCAGCATACAGCAACCATCTCTTTAGTGACTGTCACCATCTGGGCTAAGAATACCTGTAAGTGCCATGGCAAGCATAATTAGGGATAGGCTGAGTAAAGGTAAAAAAAGAAAGGTCCCTGAAGAGTCACCAATGCTACTACTTGAAGATATTGTGTTTAAAAGGCACCAGTATTATTTAACAAATACGATTAGGATCTATGTTTTAAAGTTTTTCTGGGGGGGGAGGATCATACTGTTAAAGATGAAGTAGTAGTCAATTATGTTAAATTATTTAGTTTCCTTCACTCATCTAGCTTTTATTTTTATTCTTTTGGTACCCTTCCCCCTATCACCTGTAACCCTCCCCATTTACCCCCCAAAAAACTGGGATTTCCTTGTTGAGGTGGATTCTGTGTATGTGTGGATTTGTTATGTGGGTGTTTGAGAGCACTGAGAATAAGGAGAAGGATTGGGTAAGAGGCTCAAAATAAATAGTATAGTGACCCTAAACCATTAATTGCAAATGGTATTATCCACTTGGATACATAAAGACCTCAGTGTTTAATTTGGAATAAACCAGAAAGGTTTTGCTGTTAGTTCCTCTTAAAGGATTTTTATATACCTTTCTTTTTGCATATCGGTTGATATTTTCTTCAATTCATCCTATTTATGAGGTTCTCATTATTCTTGCATTGAGCCAGTATCATCTTTTCTTCTTTTTTAGATTTACAAACCAGACTTTCCCAACAGAGTGAGGGTAAGTTTTCAACTTTTTTTAATCTTTGTTTGACATATAAAATAGTTTGATACAAAATTTTACTGGAATAATAATTTGAAATTTTAAATATCATCTTGACTGGCAACCTGGGTACCATGGCTTTGGGTGAATAAATGGTCCTTTTTTGATGGTGGTCCTTCTACCCTCTCTCCTACAGGAACCTTTTTCCAAGTGTCTAAAGGCCTGGTGGGTGAAAGGCCCTTTGACTTCAGGATAGGCTCTGCTCTGACTCCAGTGAGCCTCCAAGTAGTGTACAACTGAGATGAGGTATACCTCATCTTTGAGGCTAAACATAGTGAATTGCATAGGAATTCCTGTGTCTAACAGAAGATGCAACCCAGTCAGCCTTTTCTTCCGTCTGCTTTTTGCCAATACTGTGAAGTTCAGTTACTCTCCTGAATTTTATTGTGTTATCAAGTAAAATAGACTGGGTTTCACTCATTTCTCTGACAGAAGCCATAGTTTTCATGATTCTGTGTTTTCAAGACATGTAAAGAAAAATTGTTGACTACCATTCCATCCTCTGAGTTAGAAATAATTCTTTCAGTTTCTTAGTGCTTAATATGTAATGGGCACTGTTATGGTATGTAGTGGGCCGCTTATCTTAAGCTTCAGTCTGCAATCTTAATGAATTAACAGCTTATACCAGCTGGGTTGAGAAACATAAAGTTCTTTAATACATAGTGACATAAGAAAAAAACAGTACATGAACTGGGGGAAAGGAATCCTCACTGATTGGGTAAAATAAGGAGGTCTTAACGTTAAGCTGGGCTGTTAAGAAAGGCAGAATTTCAGGAGCCAGAGGCATTTTGTTCCAGACCTAAGGGAAAGTAAGCTGAGGAATGGAACCTAGAAAGCCAAATAGATAGTTTGAGATGAATATCTATTCTGGTGGAACTCGAAATAGTTGGAATAAAGGACTGTGTGTGATAATACCTAAAGCAGGGGTTCTTAACTTATCTGTGATTTTGTCTGTTTAATATTTTGTGAATCTTAATTATAATTAGTTTTCTTTTTATTCCTATGTGTTTTTAATTGTATATATTTGAAAACATGATTCCAGAATTTCAAAAGACTGATCCAGGAGTTCATGACACATAAAAGTTAACTGATCTAGAGATTCCATGGTGCTAGATATTAGTCTGGTGTTCAAGACCAAAACAGAGTTGGAATTTTATTCAGTGGCAGTACAAGAAACTCTGAAAGGGTTTTGAACCCAGAAAAGTGGCCAGGTGCATTATATTTATCTGCTGGCAATATGAAGCAGTGCATGGGGGAAGGGGGCTCAGGTGTAAATTAATTGAGGATAAGCAGAAACAATTAGGCTGCTATTGTTGGTTTCAGGCAGGTAGTTATTAGGGGCCTGTACAGAGTTAATGACAGTGAAACAGGAAGTAAGATTTTCTTTTTTTAAACTGAACATTTACTTGATAAACCCTAGGTTAGGAGCATTCAATATAGTCCCTATCTTTCCCCATCACATTTTCCACCTTTCTCGTAGGGATTGCTTCCCAATTTCTTCTCCATATTTTCCTTTAACTTTTCCAGGTTGTTGATCTGGAATTTTTGTTTTCAAATATTTCTGAAAATGAGTTTCATTTTAAAGTAATACATGCTGGGCAAGACCACAAATGTCTTTCAGAAATTGAATCACTTTTTCCCCAAAATAAATATAACTTTGGATAAAATGAGTCACAAAGTAGGTGTAAAATTGGTGGATAATTGTGACTAGCTTACTGGATTTTAAAGCAAAAGTCTTGTCTTCTTTTTTCTCTGTAGTTACAGCTCTAGCTGCAGCCGCTTCTGTGCAGCCTCTTGCAACACAGTGTTTCCAGCTTTCCAATATGTTTAACCCTCAAACGTAAGCAATGAATTTTTGCAGAATATCTATAAATCTAAAATCCTTGCTTTTGTCGATTTTATTTGTTGGTCTTGTTTTCAATGTTTAGAGCACATCTTCTATGAATTTCAGAGCATGAAATTGGAGTATATTCTATGAAAGAAAAAGATTTGTCATAGACTTACATAGCATTTAACCAGTGGTTTGAATTTTTAAATTTTTCTCTTTCCCTGTGGTCAATCTTTATATTATGAAATTACTGTTGGAATTTTTGACCATTTACAGTTGCTAGAAAAATTTAGGAAGAATGTGGATTTTGGACATTATACTGGTTACTCTTAAGTGCTTTCAATATATTTCTTGTCGATAAAAGAGGTGGGATTTGTTGGGAGGAAATTGATTTGTCTTAGACATACGTAATAGCTTCAGAAACCTTAGCTTTATTTATACAAATCATAATTTTGACCTTTGTCTTTTACAGGGAAGATGAACTTGGCTGGGATACAGAGATTAAAGATGATGTAATTGAAGAATGTAACAAACATGGAGGAGTCATCCATATTTATGTTGATAAAAATTCAGCTCAGGTATGTTCTGCTCTGAATGGGGTAAACAGTAGCAATAACTTAATTGGCATTCTAACTAACCATTGAGTATTCCAAGAGAATACTCCTGCCTTCTGAGTCCTAACTAAAATCCCACTTATAGGAAGGTCTTTCCCAGATTCTTAATTCTAGTGCCTTTTCTCTGCTGATTTTTCCAGTTTAATCCTGTGTGTGACATATTGTTTGTGTATAGTTAGTATTTGCATGTTGTGTCTCCTCCATTAGATTGTGAGCTGAAGAGAGCAAAGACTGTCTTTTGTATTTTTATCTCCCAAAACTCAGTACTGAGTTCCTAATACATAGTAGGTGCCTAATACATAAATGACTTATTGACAGCATACTTGTTGGTGATTGTTAGGTTTCTGCTGAATGTTTTAATTCTCAAATGATGTCATCATTATATTATATAGAGATGGAATTTGCAAAGTGTTTTCTTCCTGCTGTTGAAGTATTTGATGCTTAATTAGATTTGCAACTTAAAAGTTGCAGAAAAGACAGTGTACCAACAGAAAATAAATTGATGTTGCAAAAGCAACTTTTGAAAATTATAGACAAATTGAGAAAGTTGGATTTATAAGGTATTATCTGCTGTGGTGGGACAGGACCCCATCTTGCACACAATGAAATGCTTAATAGCTTTGGAAATTAATAAAACTTGGTTTACTTTCATGTCTCTGGAGTTGTTTTCCCTTCCCTTAAATAGAGTGACAGCAGCACTTCCTGCCATCACAAAGTATAAGAATCTAGGTGAAAAGTTACTTTCTCATGTTTATTACATAGCTCTAATGAAATGGATAAAAAGCAAATGCACACAGATAGGAATACAATTGGTTTCAGACTTAATCTAGAAGAAGCCTATAGAGGGCCTGCACTCTAATAATAATTGGCTTTCTTGGGTTTCAGGGCAATGTGTATGTGAAGTGCCCCTCAATTGCTGCAGCCATTGCGGCAGTAAATGCATTGCATGGAAGATGGTTTGCTGGTAAGTCTTATCCAAAATTCTTGTAACTTGTTACAACTAAAATGTTGAAGAGAAATGAAAACATTAAATTTTTTTTTCTTCAACAGGTAAAATGATTACAGCTGCATATGTACCTCTTCCAACTTACCACAACCTTTTCCCTGATTCCATGACAGCAACACAACTACTGGTTCCCGTTCGACGATGAAGGAGAATTTAGTCCCTTATGTACATAGCTTTTTTTTTTTTTTTTAAAGAGGATTCAAACCTGAGTTATCTTTTATTTAGGTAAAACAAAAGGAAAGGGTCTACTGTCATTTGTATGCAATTCCTGTTACCTAGCCTGGAGGAGAGAAAGCTGTTATAGCAGGAATGCAGTGTGCTCATTCTCCCTAACTAGCAATTTCCACCGTATACAAAGCTGTTTTCTTGTTCTGCCTTGTAAATGTACATTTAGAACATTGACTAAGGTGATCTGTAGGAATTGAGAAATAGCTTAGACAAATGTACTTTCTGTAAAAGGCAGACAAGGATGTAATGACGTTTTTAATGTTTCAGAAGCCTAACTTTTTATGCAGCAGTTACATTTTACATTTCACTAAATGAATTTTGACACTTGGCTAATGGTTTAACAGAAATATGGTTTCTGGAATACCTATTTAGTGTTCTGTATATGGGAAATTCAGACAACTAAATGAGTCCTGACTTTGGTCAGTAATTCACCTTTCATTATGATAAACAATTGGCAAGAAAGGGAGATTCAAAAATTCAATTTCTTGATGGTAACTTTTCAATTAATGTATCTGTAAAAGTTTCTTTGTAAATATTGTGTGTTCTGGTGTGTCTAAGGTTCCAAACAAAATGATCCCTGCATTTCCTCAAATGTACAGATTATAGTGTGGTAAGCAACACAGTCTGAGCAGGAAACAGGAAATGCAGAAATAGGTTTTGTCTGGTTGCATATAATCTTTGCTCTTTTTAAGCTCTGTGAGCTCTGAAATATATTTTTGGGTTACTTCAGTGTGTTTGACAAGACAGCTTGATATTTCTATCAAACAAATGACTTTCATATTGCAACAATCTTTGTAAGAACCACTCAAAATAAAATTCTCTTTAAAAGGCCATGAGTGATTTTAATTTATATTTTCTGATGGTCAAAAATAAAAGTAAGATATGGTGGGGCTTTTTTGTTTTTTGTTTTTTTAACCAAATCAGCGTGATATAGTGGGGAAAATACTAGATTTGAAGCCAGATCTGGCCTCTCAAAAATCAGTTATGTCAGTTTTCTTTTTGGTGCTTCAGTTTCCTCATCTGTAAAATAAAGAGGGCTGGATTACATGATCCTCTAGATTTAATTTTGAAATCTGTATTCATCATCTGTTAAATATTATTTGCTATGTTGTCCACTTTCAAGTCAGTTTTTCCAACCCCAATTGGATTTTCCTCTGTACAAATTTAACACTGGTAGGATAAAATCTTCCATGTTTGTATATTGAGACTGAGGAGTACACATTCCTTTCCATTTTTTTCTTTCTTTTTGGTGAGGTAATTTGAAGTTAAGTGACATGCGCAGAGCCACACCTAGTAAGTGTTCTGTGTCTGAGGACATATTTGAACTGAGGTCCTGACTCCAGGACTGGTGCTCTATACACTGCAGCACTTAGCTGCCTCCTATATATTCCTTTCTAAAAATCCCAACAATCATTAGTGTCTCTTTAGATATTTCATGACTTATGAAGTACTAGAGGTGTTAACCTCCATCTTTCTTATGATGAAACTTAATAGGTTTTTACTTTTTTATATGGTTATGCAACTGAAAGTAGAATTTAAACCCATAATCTCACTGTAATCTAGAGCTCTTACACCCTACCACATTGGCCCCTCCTGTACTGTCTCAGTTAAGAGAGGGTTTCCTGTTAATAGCCAAGAACTTTACAATCTGTTCAACACAATGTACGTTGATACCAAAGGTGCTTTTGTGGGAGTGTAGTTAGGTGTAAGCTACTGGTAAAGTTGTAAATAGAAATTCACACAGCCTTGGGGACTTGATGTCATCTTCAACACAGTTTTATTTGTTGACTCCCCAAGTACAAAAATCCTTACCCTCTGAAGTTTGATTGAAGCCAAGTACCTACTACTCAATAGTGCCAAAGTTCAAAAGGAGTAACTTTTTAAAAAGGAAATTATCAATACGTTTCTTATGGCACATTTGTTACAAACAATAGGCAACTTGGCACCTTTTGCCTTCAAAGGAGCTATCTTGACCAATGAATGGCTTCTATGCCCACGAATTTTTAAGAACCTTGCATTCCAAGCAATGAGACCACAGATGCTTTTCTTTCTCCCAGTGCTTATCAAATGAACTATCTGCTAAGTTTGGTCTGAATAGAAGAAATTAAGAGAACTCTAGTGGGCTAGTTTCAGACTTCAAAAGGTTCCAAGGTAGGCACAGATTTAACTGGAAGACTCATGGCATCAATACTTATTAAAGGGCTTAAAAACCTGTACCTTCAAAGCAAGACTTCTCTCCTGAACACATCTCTACAAAATGCCTAAGCAATTATCTCCACCTACGTGTCCTGCCATCATTTCACTTTTAGCGTTTCTCAGTGTGAACTCAATTTTCTCTAAAAACTTGGTTTTCTCTTTGGAATTTACATTTTGGACACCCAAGACTTGAGAACTTTAAATATTAGCACTACTGTTTTGTTTTTAACATTAGAAAGGCTAAGAAAAACAGGTTCAGAAATCTCAGTCGATGAAAAATGCTATCAGTTTAATTACATATACCAGTTCAGAAGCTTGATCTAGTGTTTGGTATTTTACCTTTTTTTTTTAGGCAATTGGGGTTAAGTGACTTGCCTAAGGTCACATAGCTAGTAAGTGTCAAGTGTTTGGTCTGAGGTCAGATTTGAACTCAGGTCCTCCTGACTTAAGTGCCAGTGCTCTATCCACTGTGCCACCTAGCTGCCCCGATATTTTACATTTTAACAAACGTGATTTGTTCAAATTGTACCACTTCAATATCACACTTTTAATTTTTTCCTCTGAGTCCACACTATTCACCTACTCTGTAGATCACTTCATTTTCTGTCCAGCTTGTCACACCCTTGGGCCATTTCAAGTTCTTGAGTAAATTGTATCATTTTTATTTTGCCCATCATTAAAAAACATTAAAGATTTCATATACACAACAGAACCAAAAAAAAAAAAATCTCCATATACCTTGCTATTATATCATATCCTGGCAATTTTCCCTTTTTTTGTGCAGTGACTTAAAAAATAAAAACTAGCAACAAGTGTGGACTTGCTAATATGCACTCTCCATAAGCTAACGGGCCTTTCAGAAAATAGGTTAGAGATTCCCTCGGATGCATCAGCCAATGACTGAAAAATAATTTTAGGATCGAGATTCCTCCTATCACTTTTTGGCTATTTTCAGACCTCTGGAATTATATGATTCACTTTTGACAAATAATTAACTGAGGCCCAGGCAAATGAAATGACTTGTCTAAGGTAACAGCTAAGCAAGCAGGAGGTCCTCCAATCACAAAGCCATTGCTTTACAATACCACAAATCTTTCCCCATCTTGTCTAAATTTCCACTTGGAACCGTGAAATGGAGGGAGTGGGCGGAAATAATGAAGTATCTTGAGTTGCTCTGTCCTACATGTGGGTAGCGGCCAGAGATTATCGACATAAATCCAGGCCGACAAGAAAGACCCGTTTTTGAAATAGTCTGGCGCTAAACCCCGAAAGTAAAGACTGGCACGTACTCAAAGCCTTTTATTATATTACACAAGGAGGTGCGAGGGGGTGTGAGGAGAGCTGGAGCCGCCGCGGTCAGCAGCGGATGCCCATTCCGATGGCCATAAACGTTCCGAAGGTACCCCCGCTCTGCATCATGGTTTTGCCAATTCCGCCCATCAGCTCCCGGCCCCGCATCCCGATCCTGGAGGAGTAAGCCTGAATGGAGCTAAGTAGGGAGAGGCTCAAGGACTCCAGACCTATCGTCTTCTCCCCATTCCTGGCCCCAGGCGCCTCCTCCCTAGGAGTTCAGCCTGCCCCTTGACCCGAAGCTACGGCCACACCAGGCCCCGACACCGCCCTCCCAGCGCCTGCCGACCTGCCGCCCCCGCGCCCCAGTTTGGCCCCTCCAGCTCCTGGAACCCCCCGAATGCGACCCGCCGGCCTGTGCAAGCCAAGGATCAGAGACGAAGCCCGGGACGGTGCCGAAGGCCGCCCTCACCTGAGGCACGAGAATGTGCCGAACAGCGCCCCGGCCGCCATGCCCACGGCGCAGCCCATCACGAAGCCCATCTTCACTCGGTCGAAGCAGGTGGGCTGGGACTGTCCATAGGGACCCACGGCTACTGGCATCTGTGCGGGGAGAGACGGGCAGGGTTGGATCTAAGGAGGGGCCGGGGCCTTCGGCAAGGCCAGGACTACAGCCGCCGTCCACACATCCCCCAGGAAGGGAGAACTCGACCGGCAAGCGGCGGTGAACGCGGACTCCGGGTCCCGCACCGTGGTCCCCCTTCCCAGTCTCTGGCAGCGCCCCCAGCCCAGCCCGAACAGCAGCTCACCTCGCTTTCGGCCTCAGTCGCTCCGCTTTACGTCTCGGGAGGCGGGAGGTTAGTGTCGTTTCCGGGGCGGTGAGTAATAACTTCCTGGTCGTATGAAACGGAAGTGAGAGGTCACTTCCGGCCCTGGGAGACAGTGGAGAAGATGCTGTGGAGGGCTGCGTGCAGAGTGGCGACCCGGATCGCGGGCCCCTCCCCTCCGCGTCGGGGACTGCGCTTGCGCGGTATTGGCTATTGACTTTCTCCCCCCACCTCCCCATTTTCCCCAATCCCCCCCATACCTTCACATACATTTCCTAACGCCCTTCTCGAGTGTGGCGATGTTTCTTGTTCCTCGCTGGATAACCGACCTCGACTTTGATCTACTCAGTCGAGACCCACCTGCCCCCACTTTCGGCCAGAGGCCGGACCCCACCCTTCCTGGCCGACCCCAGACCCCTCCCAACTCTGCCAAGTCCACCCTCACCATTCACACCCTCTTCACTAGTCACCCCACAACCAGATCCTCCCACTTTGCCCTGAGACCACCCCTCTTACAGGCTTTGCCATCCAGACCATGCCTTCCCACCTCCATTCTCAGGCGGACCACCTGCCTGAGCCACACCCTCAGCCCACCCCAGTCCACCAATTTTGACCTTCCCGCATCTACTCAGACTATCCACCTAATAAAGACGGGCTCAGCCTCAAGCCAACTTCATAATCTGTCAAAACTTCTATTCCAGAAGATGCATTTTCCCATATCCATTTCCTGTGCCGAAGATGTCCTGTGACTTCCCCTCGTCCTTCAGCCAGCCAGACTCTCCTTTCCCCTTAGATTTCGCCTTCTCTTCCCAACAGCCTTCACACAAGACCCTCTTCTCCCTCTGTTTTTTCCAGGGCTAGACCAGTCACCTCACCCACCTGGCTTCTCAGATGTGGTTCCTCCCACGGAGGAGACAGTGTTTCGGCCTCTCTACATGGATGTGCAAGCCACTACTCCCATGGTGGGCAGCAGCTTGGGTTGCAGCAACTTTTGAAGTGTTGTAGCTTCTGAAGAAGTGCTTGGCAGTGCTCCTTTGGAGCTCCTGGGACTGGGAGTAGGTTGGGTAGAATAACAGTTCATACTAGAATGTAAGCTTTTTGAAGGCAGGTAATGTTTTTAGGTGCTCAACACCTAAAATTGTGTCATGTACTTAGTAAGGTCTTAATAAATATTGAGTTTCATGAAACTCAATAGGTATAAAAGTAATGTGGAAACTGTAAGGGACAAATGAAAGGTAATTGATATAATAGAAACATTTGCCAATGCCCAAAATTGGGCAACTTATTTCTCTACGTAGATCTTTTCTCACTTGTAAAACAGGGGTAATAATACTTGCCATGTATACTTTTTAGGATTGTTTTAAGAACAAAATGACTGGATGTGCTATGTAAATCTAATTGTTAATATAATTTAAAGCAAGATCTGATTAAAGGTTACTCTGGAAGGGGAAGGAATGTTTCCCTGTTCCTACTTCCCATGCTGACCCAAGAGTCAGATCTCTGCTAAACCATCTTGGCACACCATGAGAACAAGCAACTAGTGGAAAGAAGCTCTATTGGAGTGACTCTAATTTGGACTATGTTGTATCTAGGATCCTCGAGTATTGGATGCCATGCTCCCCTATCTGATCAACTACTATGGGAATCCGCACTCTCGGACTCATTCATATGGCTGGGAAAGTGAGGCTGCTGTGGAGCATGCACGCCAGGTAAGAATAAAGAGAATCAAGGGGGATGGGAGTGAGAACTTAGAGCAGTTTGGATCCAGGCAACAGAAGTGAATTTGGGCCTTTTTTATGATTGGAGGGAGAATATTTGTCTTCTTGAAGGGAAAATGGTTACAGGGGCCCAAAAAGATTCCTAAAACATACTCTGTACTTCTTTCTAACCCTATTAAGAACAAAATTTATAACCATGCCAGGAAGTATAGAAATAGTGATCACAATATGATGGGGGATCTTTTCTGCTGTACTATCCTTTTCCTTTCCAGGAGCTAGATTTTGCCAGTTCTGTCTAATGTGGTCACTTTTTGTCATTGATGTCAAGTGTTAAGTAACTGTTTCTTCCTTTACAGCAAGTGGCATCATTGATTGGGTCTGACCCCCGAGAGATTATCTTCACTAGTGGAGCCACTGAATCCAACAATATAGCAATTAAGGTAAAATGGGGAAGTGGGACAAAGGAAAAAGCAGTACAAAAGTGAATCGAAGACCAACAGCTAAGGTCAGGGGGATTAAGCATGCCAGTACCTTTCTGATCTGAGATGACTTCTCTGTAACAGCTCAGCCTTTAGAAGTTCCCATCCCAACCTTCCCCACTTCTGGTACCCAAATATGGCCTTCACCTCCATTTTGTAACCTTCTGTAACACTTCCCCAAACCATTTCACATCTTGGAACTTCACGCTGAGAGAACATAATGTTCAATGAGACGTTTTAGGAAGTTGCTAGTATAGGTAGAAGACTTCTCTCTGAAGAGAGAAGATATTTTCTCTGTAGTCTTTGAATTTTAATCCAGGAAGTATACAGTGGACATTTGATTGGGTTAACACCTTCTTGTTCTAGTAGCTGCAGTGAGCCTCTCCAACCCCATCTGGCCTACATTATAATAACTTGTTTGTGTGGCATGCTACAGTAAAGGAGGGTGTGTGCTTTCCTTTTCCAGTTTTTCAGTTCAGTGTTCATACATTTCTCTACCACTTGTTCCTGCAGCTCCATTCTGGTGTATATGAATGCAAAACTTCCTCCTTCCTGCCTCTCCCCATTGCCATTGTTGCTTCTGGCCAGGGTAGAATCCTACAAGTGTTTTCACACCTTCCTTAAGTGTGTGCCTCCATATGAAGTGCAGGTCGTGGTCCAGTGGTCTTATCCTATGGGGCTGGTTGCACAAACCTAAGACTTTTTCTTCAACCCCTTTTACCTCTTTCCCTTTCAATCATAATCAAGCTCTGTTATTTTTAGTTTAATCTTTTCTATGACTCCTTTGACCTAGGTGTAGGTTTCTGTGAATGCAATCCTAATCCAAGCAAAATTCCCCTTTCACTAGTCAGCTGTGTATACTCCCTTTGGCTCTACCAAATAGAAGACTGGGTGACTGCTGTCATGTCAGGGGAACAAAAATAAATTACAGATTCCTGTCACATCCTCCCACCTCATACACACACTGTCCTTTTGTTGCTTTGCTGCCAATGTCAATCTCCTTTGACCTTGGCCTCGACAGGAAGTTTCAAATAGGTTTTAAAGCAGCTAGAATCCTGTCTTTATCCTCCTCTTGGTACCTTAAAATGACAGCACGAAAGTGGAGATTTGAAAACAACCTACGCTTTTCTCTAAATGAAAATTATTTCCTCCTACTTGGGCAAGAAATACAAAAATTCCTTTGGCACTTAGGAAAAGTTTACCCTGGGAAGTCTGAAAATAATGTAATCCAAAATGCCACTGTCTTAGTTGAGGTAGGTAAAGAAACTGTCCTGTGTATTCTTAGGAACTGCCACACAATGGATAAGGCTCTGTGAAAACTTCTCTTCTGTTGCCCTCTTGTACCTTCCCTAGTCCCTAAAGGAATAAGAGACATTGTTCTCTGCCTAAGCATCTTCTCCCTTCCTCACCAACTTCTAGGGGGTGGCCAGATTCTACAAGTTACGGAAAAAGCATGTGATCACCACACAAACAGAGCACAAATGTGTGCTGGACTCATGTCGTTCTCTGGAAGCTGAGGGCTTTAAGGTCACTTATCTCCCAGTGCAGAAGAATGGAATCATTGATCTGAAGGTGAGAAGGCCCCTCAGAAAAGAACATAATCTGAAGAGGGAGTAGAATGGAGCTGCAACTGATTCCTAACATTATCTCCCACTGTTCCTCTACAACAGGATCCATTCACTGAGGCTGGGCTGGTCTGCTACTTGTATTGCCAACATTCCATGCACATCTTCCTCCATGCTCTGAAGCTGAGGATGCATTTTCCCCTCTGAGTCCAATATAGGTCCTACCCCTTCCATGAAGCCCTCTCTCTCCCCCTCTGCCTAATATGACCTCTTCCTCTAATGATGTATTTCCAGCTGCTTACATGGCAATTATTTGCCAATTTTCATTGTTTTCCCTTTACGTGTAAAGAACATGTTAGATACCAAAATGTAATACCTCCTAAGGCAGTTGGTTCCTCTTCAGTATCACTCTTAAAGGGAAAACCTGATGACTGTGTGTGGGGATGTTGTTGAGGAGAATCCTATGTGGATATCTGGCATGTGCAAGAGAGGCAGAATGGGGTAATGGATAAATAGCAGACATGGTCAGAAGGATCTGGGTTCAAATCCCACCTCAGACATACACTGACTGTGTGACCCTGAGCAAATCACTTACCCTCTCAGTGGCCCAATCATCTCTCCAAGGAAATCATGCAAAACAGTTGCTGATCCAAATTTGTAGAAAGAGCTTTCTCACCGGGAATTACCTACATCATTGAAATTACAATCACAAATCCCAGCTTCCTGCCTCCTAAAATGGGTTGGACTATATGGCCTCTGCTGTCTTTTCCATCTGTGAAATTCTCTATAGTTCCTTTGTCCTAATGGATCTGTCAGATTCTAGAAGGCAAGAAATACATCTTAGACTTCTTGGTATGCTTCCCCTGGCACCTAGTCGTGGGCCGTACACATAACAGATAGTTAATTTTTTGCTGATGGATTGATAGATGCTGTTGTTCATAACATTTGATTTAGATATAGTGCCCAACTCTATGGAGTTTATAGTCCTGCTGTCTATCAGTGCTCACCAGCCAGCTTGCGTCCCATGAAAATCAGAGGAGATTACATTTTCTAAGGCTAGGAATGCTTGTATGCTGAAAAGGGAAAGGTATGATCAAGTTTCCCTTCCTCCCCTTCACTCTACCCCATTTTTTATCCCTTTAGGACCTGGAGGCAGCAATCCAGCCAGACACCAGCCTTGTTTCTGTCATGACTGTGAACAATGAAATTGGAGTGAGGCAACCTATTGAAGACATTGGTGAGTGTTTCAAGTTCTGCTTCCTGCCAAGGTCAGCAGCACTGGAGTGGTAGCCAGCCCCCTGGCATTAGAAGGAAAAAAGCCAT